CAACTTAAAATCAAGGCCGAAGCCCTATTTACACCATAGATATTATTGTCTTTTTGTCATTAGCGCCCTTTAAAATTTTTATTTTCGAGCAACACCATATACAGTTTAAAACCTATAAAAACCCAAAAGGTTTACAATCAAATTCCCTATATTTGCACGCTAATTTGCACATGATCTGCTTGGTAATTAAGGACTTTTTATGAATTTTAAATTATAAAAAATATTGATCAAGAACAAAAATTCTAGAAAGTGTTGACAATAGAAAATAATAATGTTTAAAATAATAATGTTTAAGGTGTAAATATGGGGTTTGACCTAAAATCAATTAGAGAGTATAAGAGAATTCTTATATAAGATCATTAAAGACCTCCAACTTACGAGATAATACCACTTATGTGAATTTAAAGATGAGAATTTAACATCTTGTTGTTTCTTAAAATGGTTTTCTAACGTGTGTTTTAGGTATAGGTTAAATGTATAATTAATACATTTTTAATCTTTAATTTATGTGAAAAAATGTAAAAGTTGATATTAACATGTGCCTTATAAACTTTTAGAGGAAGTCTCATTGGTTAAAAATAGACCTGGCAAAATTGGACATAATTCGAAAATCTGATTCAACTCAACTATTATGGATCGGGTGATGGGTTTTATATGTCAATCCGAAATCCAATATGATCCAAACTAAAATTATCCGAACTCAAATGAGTTGGGTCATGGATGGGTTGGGTCATTCGAAATGGGTTATATCTCCGATTTAGTCCCTCAACTTTCATTTTTGGACTAAAACTACCCTCAAACTTCAAAAAGTACTAAAAAAATCTTTAAACTTCAATTTTTGGGACAAAATTTGTCCTTCCGTCAGTTAATTGCTGACGTGGCAAAATTTTCGGTTAACAAATTCAATTTTTATTAATATTAAATATTACCTGGAAATAAAATGAGTGATGTGACATTTTTAATTATAAAACTATTGTGATTTGGTACAAAAATATAATTTAATAAATAAAAATTTCTTTTCTTTCTTTTTCTTTTTTTCTCTCCTTCTCTTTTCTTTTCTCCTTCCCCTCCCTACTGGGTTTGAAGGAACCCAGCACCAGCGCCTGGGTTCGAGGAACCCAGGACGCCTGGGTTTGAGTCGAACCCGCCTAGGTTTTTTTATTGTGTTTCTTTGTTGGCTTGCAATCATGCTTGAATGGGATTTAGAGTTTTGTGTTGCTTCTGATTGCTTGAATTTTCAGATCTAGTTACTATCAATGTTGATTGAAGGAATGTTGTGTTTTCTTTATAGATCTGATATAAATTTGTAAAGGAATTGATTTTTTGAATCAGATCTATTGGTCATTATTATTATTGTGCGAGGAACCAGATTTGAGTTCTATTAGAGAGGAGGTTTGGGGAAGAA